ATACAGGCCGAATTAAAACAATATTCGGGAAGGAAAAGAAAAATAATAAAATAATATAATCTCATTCTGAGCGATTTTGTTTTCTGTGTATAAACACAATGTATGTGAACATATTACTCTCCAATTTTCATGAGAGATGTAATGAGGGCAAATTGAAAACATGATATTCCAAAATTGTCATTATTGTATGTATTATAAACATTGATTTAAATAAATTCAAAAATTTAATCTATTCTATGTACTTGTTACTAAAAATTCAATTATCGGGTATATCGTGTTTTCACGGTTCTTTCCATTACACTTTTTGACAATTTTATTTAATAGCACAGACCTCCTGGCAAATAATATTTTTACTAGATTTTGGAATTTAGAAAATACAGAGAAGCAATTTCTCTCGCGTGAAAATAACTTGTCAGTCATTATCATTTTTTATCTACGTTTACACTATCTATGAGTCTCCTATCATTTTTAATTTATACACACAGTAATTGAACGAGTTATGCGTGAGAGTCCCAGGGTTAAATATTAATGCTAATTTATTTTAATTCATTCATTTCACGGTATTCATGCTATATTTATCCGTAATATTCTTATTTTTTTTAACTTGACACATACATCTTAAGGCTCGTCTACAATACGTGAAGTAAGCGCAGAAATTGGGGTAGACGTAGCATTATCGTTGTTAGAAAAAGAGGCGGACCACCAACGACTGTACATAAAATGTTTGCAAAATTATTGCTGCTGGAATGACGTAAACTCAATTAATCTTGTTTATTCGTCATATGGCCAACTGACGTCACAAGAGCGGACACGAAAACAAAGAGGACGAAGCTGTGAAAGAAGAAGGCTGATCCGTTTCATAAATCATTATCATCGGAAGTAAATACGGTTACCTTTCATGTCTCATCAGGCAATTGGAATCCCAGAGTCGCGAGGAATTTCATCATAATTTGCAAATGGCAAAAGTCCTCCAAATTTTTACTCTTATACCGGGCTTACCCCGTGTACTGTAGAGGAGCTTTCACGTGTACGCTTCCTATGAATTCAATACTCCAACAAATCCATTAGCTCAAATTAAAAAGGTAATATACAATGTGTCTCATCGATGCGGCACGCAGCAGCTGAACTGCGCTGCGTCATTCTCTGTGTGTTAAATGTATATTCAGTTGCAATAGCATCCAAAGCAATAAATATTTTAAAGATAATAATTACGCACGTCGTGTAAACATAATAACAAAATAACTGATTCTGTAAATAATTAATGAAATATAATTAATAAACGAAAATACATTCGCTGTAAAATTGTTCCGCTATCGTGGGACGCCTCTCAAGGCCTCTTCTTGTTCTCTCATTTCTTATCGCGCTTAATCATATATTCACTCGCAAAATCGCGAATGTTTTAAACACTTCTGACGCCAGTCGCAAGTATTGCTTTGTTATATTGCGACGGGAACGTAACGTGAAAAAAATACACAATCGCACCGAGCTAACAATAAGTCCGCTTGACATACGCACGTCTCGCGAATAAGCGTAACGAATAAATTTCGAGCGAGGGGCTTTAATAACTCACATCGATAAACACTGCATTTACGAAAATGCTATGAAATATTAATACAGAGGATTAATTATGACGGTACTTGTTAATTAAATGCGTTGCGATGCCGCTCGCCTCGGTATCAATCAATCCTATACCCGCAATGTTCCGTTAATGACCAAAATACTGATAACTTTCTGATACCGTACGATACAATAAAGTCGATTAATGAGATGATCGTCCGAAAATATGTTGTATACTGTTGTACAGTACATTTCGGACATGCAAACCTCGCGAAATATATTATTAATGAATGTATTATTAAATCTGTTATTAAAATAAAATGTGTTATTAGGAGGACGAATCGATATGCCATAGCGTAGGTACTCGAATATCCCGATTCGATATCATTTGTACAGCGATGAACGAAATGGTTGCAACACCTTTTTGTCATGAGTTTAGGAACGCGCACTTACGCGCGATTTACTTAAATTTTGATCTCTTATATATTTACAACTGTATGCTACATTGCCGATATCATAAAAGGCATCGACGTGTTTCTACGTCGTTTATTAGCGACTCGACAAATTGTTGATCCGAATTTGGTCACCTTACTCTACCCTTACACTCGGTGAGAAATTTAAAGCGCGACGCAATATGCGCGTCCGAGCTAAAGAGAAATCATTATCGTGTTACAAAACAATAATTTACAGTTCCCGTTTCCTCCTGGTTCAACTCCTCAAATAGATCAATCGTTAAGATATCTGCTTCGGCAAACATCGCTTCGCTCGACGCCGGTATTCATAATCCATTAATTGCACATCGTCCGCGGAGAATGATAGCGATTTGCTTTTGGTCTTTACTGTAATCACATATATTCTTTGGAGAAATGAATGGTATAACCCATCTCATTCGCTCGAATGGCAACGCGATGAAAACCGTAACAACAAGCACTAAGATCGCGTGGCCGCGGCTCCGTTATCTGAAATGTTTAATTTATTGCAGAGCAGCAATATGAATTATCTCGTTCCTTCCATTTTAGATTATTGTAACCTCAATGAGACAAATATTATCGCGCGCACATTTAATGTTTCCTCGTTAAAATTTATCCTTTATTTTTAACCACGTATTTTGAGAGGTGTTTATACGTGTAAATAAATTTATTTTTTTCTACACTTTTACGTCCCGGATTAAATAAAATCATTTTTATAAAGCAAAAACTTTTCTCGCGGTTTTAATAAAGCATGACAACACATTTAACAAAAGTACTAAATAAATTAAGAACTTTTCTGGCGGGTTTTTTAATTGTTTATTAGTATCAGTAATATTATATTAATTATCAATGCAAAATATTGTAATATTACATTTCCGGATTTGGCATAAAACTACGTTTTCAAGAAAAGAGCATATAAAGACGGAAGGCATAAAAAATATTATTATTAAACATAAGACCCTGTTTAATAACAAAATATATCGATTTATTGCAAGAGAATAAAGTTACAGTAAAAAACGTGACTTTTCTTCTTGGTTTATTATTAAAATATATCGCTCCTTTCCAGTAATTATCAGATTACTGAAATTTTTGTGGAAAACAAATTAAATAACTCGCACGAAACAATAAAATCAGCTATTAATTAATAAACTTGTTACTATTGTTGTTTGTTATAATAAATATAATATCTAAAAGTACACACAAAAAATATAACACGTGCACGGAGAGACTTTTCTTTTAAAATTTATCGTGGAAATTATGTGATCGTGAGACAGCGTGGCATTTCGAGGAATTTTATGAGGGTTTTTTGAAACTGTGCCATACGTTTTACTAGTAGAATGTATGGTAAATTTCAAAAAACTCCCACGAAAGTCTTCAAAATACCACGTTGTTCCACGATTACATAATGTTCAGGGTAAGAAAATTCTCTCCGTGTAACGAGAAACTGAAAGACAAAGAGGAGGGAGAGAATATCGTTTATCTTATAAATAAGCAAAGCGTATCGCAGATAAAAAAAATAATTATCCCGGCGCGAGCGTGCTTGGACTTCCCGCGACCAATAGTCATAAACACGAGATTCGTATATCAGTATTACTTGACTGACGATAACCCGATGACATTTATAGCCGATTGATCGGTTGTAGCCAAGTATTTCCCGTTTGGCATACGATGAAGAGCGACCGCAATACCGCATATGCCGGGCCACGCTTTAAGGCTCGTCCGGCTCGACTGTGCTCGCCCCATTTTCTCCTCGCAAATGCGAAATACGAAGGGTCGCCGCTCGCCACTCGCGGGTGAGCCGGGCCAAGTCTTGCACAATTCCGAACATTAAAAGTTCCGCGGACGGACAGCACGCGAAACGGATTGGCCAGCTGACGGAGGGGAAGTTTCCGGGGATTGGCCGACGGCGATGAATACAAATCAAGCGTCGGCCGACTTTTTCCATTGTGAACCATCTCCCGGTATAACCGACTTTCATTTTGCATACACTAACACCGATCGCGAACAGCTTCCCGAGAATACGAGATGTCCGTTGTTTGGGACGGGGACGCCTGGTTGGGTGCCAGGAATCGGTAAAGAAACCGGCATAATCTCGACGGCCTTCGGGTCCCGATGGAAAATAATACCCCGTTTCAATAAACCAACAATCTCATCGCTTTAAAACTCTCGTTGCATTATTAATTCCGGCTCCTTCTCCGCGGCGCGTTTGGTCCCCGGCGAATACGAGAATATAAACTTGTTGTCCGCCGCGCATTACTTTTCGTTTCATATCCATTCGTGGCTCGTACATTATTTCGTCGCGTTAAACAACGTGACGCTGCCTCTTACGTTATTTATGAAGGTTCTCAAGTCACAGGCATGACGCCGTCCTAGATCTAACGAGCTCGCAAGATAGGTGCTCTGATCGTTTTATAATCCGAGCGTCGAGCGTCTCACGCGAGGAGGAAGGCTAAGCGGGACGATAAAGGACTGATGAATATGGATCGACATTCGATCACTCGAATTTGCATGCACGGCCAGAGGTGAGGCAAGAACAACGTATCTTTAGACGCGCTTGTATATCGCAGAGTTGCGTTATTAAGTCCGAGAGAAAGAGAGAGAGAGGCAGGTCATTAAAATAAAGATAGATCGCGCGTCTATCTGTCGGAAATATAATTTTCTCTACGCTTCCACGACACGGAGAGAGCCTCGGCAGCGTATAGGGTCGTCCGTGAAGGAGCGCAATATCTCGTCCTTTGATTCGGCCGGTAACGAACGAGAAATTCGAGCGAAACTCTTTTCACGGAAGCGGCCAATCTCCCGATTCCGCGTAACGGATCTATTAAAACTCTCGTCCAGCGAGATTGGACTCATTACCGGCTACCGGGTGTGGCTAAAGACCCGTCATGGCTCAAGATCCCCGATCCCGCCGCGAGACCGGTATTATCTCGCCGTCGATGCGATACCGAGCCGTTGCCGGCACCCGAGACTTACCGGTGGTGGAGTTGATGAGGAAATAACCCTCCGGATTGCCGCTGCTGATGGTGAAGACGAACTGCTGGGGCGAGACGTCGCGATCAAAGGCGCGGATCTGCAGGACACTCACGCTGGCGGGCGAGTTCTCCGCCACGGACGGATAGTAAACTGGGAGCTCGGTCAGCGGCGTGTTATCATTCTCGTCCAGCACCTCGACGTACACCTGCACACGCGTGAGCAGAGCGGGTCAAATCATCCGTTCGAACAAAACGGGCCGTCGCTCGTTTGATTAAATTCCCGATCGGGGGAAAAGGGGGAAGTGATCGTGACTCGACATACAGGGAAAAGATTACACTGTTAGAAGCAGTGTGTGAATATTACACACTTTATCGCATGTGATGTGTGTCCGCCGTTTCAAGACGTCTGTAAGTGTGTGACTTTTTCATGCACGAATGGATGTTTGATTTTATTGGCGTGTGTGACTTTTCACACAAATGGAGGTGTATAACTTATTTAGGTGTA